TCGAATTTTTCATAATAAATTATAAATATATTTTTTTGCAAATATCGAATCGAACCGAATCGAAATTGATCAGGAACCGCAAAAACCAAACCAAACATAAACCGAACCAGGCCTATAACAAATACTAGAAACCGAAACCGAAACCACACTAATAATTAAAATACATATTTTCAAAATGAATATCATAATCACTAGAATAAGATCTTACACTGTAGACCCTAAAAACGGGGTCTGAAGAAGAGTTCCATAGCTAAATCAGGAAAAACAAGCTCAGTGGTCTAGACCCTTCGACTTTACAGATGCTGAAGGTCTGAAGACGTTTACCCATGCGTCAAAAATACCAAAAAAAATGTTTCAAACAACATGTTTTCTCTCGCTCATTTTTTTCTTCGCTGCTGTCACACGTTTTTCACCAGTGCTCTTGGGCTCTTGCCATGAACATCCACGGGGGGTGGGGGGGGTTAAAAACTGAAATATTTCACTTTCACACCTAGAAATATTTCAGCTAAAAATTTCTGGTTTATAATGGTCTCTCCAGGGCCTGGTTGAATTCAAGGCTGAACGTCAAGCTCTGAAACATGTTTCACAAATTCACTCTCTTATTTATTTTCTTGGAAACTGGCAGTTACCATTTACATCCATTTACCTAGTTATGTGGCTTGCGCGTCGGCCCTACCCGCGTAAGGACTAAAAAGGTGATTTTTTTAGAGGGGGACCCTGCTAGAACTGTAAAATACCATGGTTTTGCAACTACCCCCCCTCAAAAATTTCATCCTTGTATTTCGGGGTAGGAAACATAAAGGGCTCCTCGAGCATTGGCAATGGATTTTTTTAGGGGGGGACCCTGCTAGAACTGTAAAATACCATGGTTTTGCAACTACCCCCCCCTCAAAAATTTCACCGTTGCATTTTTCTATGTGTAATTATGTGTATATATAATATATATATATAATGTATGAAAGTATGAATGTATGAATGTATGTATGTATGTTATGAAAGGGTGTGCCATACCATCTCTGGGCTAAAAATGTTGCATCCGGAGGACCCCCCCCACATCTTTTGGAAGCCCAAAAAACATGTGGGGGGGGGTATATTTCATGTGGTCAGGTGAAATATTTCTCAGAAATTTCTTGCCTTACCCCCCCCCCCAAATATTCCAGGGTTAAAGGGGGGGGATGTGTGATTGGCTGGCTGTTTAGGGGGCGTCTGGGAGGTCCTGAGATAAAAGGTAAACTCCTCAATAATCAGGCAACGGGGCGCGCCACCCTCCCCTTTACTCCATGAAGTAAACTCAAGGTAGGTGCACTGGGAGCTACCTTTCGCGATTTTATAACAATGATTTTTCCGATTTGCACCTTATTCTCGATGGATTCGAGGCTGCGAGCTGCTTTATAACAATAACTTCTGATATCTAGTCTATCGCGAATCCAATACAGAGTTATTTTCACAGTGAACTCGTAGAAAAAGCATATCGCACGCAATCCAGGAATGATATGACTGGCCATCGCAAACAAAAGTCTTGGATCGATACCCATATCCCTTTCTTATTTCAATTTCTAATATTCTACATTATTTTCCTTTTTTCCCTCGAAGCCGCTCTTGAATTGCCATGACCTTGCCATCGTGACAGTTCATGAAAGTCTGAAGCTGCTCAAGGAATGCTAAATCTGCTTCTCCCTTGCCGTGCCTGACTTTTTAGCTCTGAGTTGTGCTTGCGCACCTGCGTCTGTGGCAAATGTTTACCGTTCATTCATTGTGGCTGGTTGAATGATCTGCAAATTTATGTTAAATATAAGGTGACCCATATACCGTCTCTTCCTCTCCTTTTCATATTTGTGGGCAGCGGCAGGTGTATGTTGTTCACTTGTCTTGGTCGAGAGATTGCGGGATTCTCAAAAGGTGGGGGATAATGATGGCAAAATCTGCTAAAGGATCCTCAAAGTATTCGAATGTTCCAAGCCATTCCACTCATATCAAATTCACAGCGTTCTCTTTGGAAACCCATTGCTTTTGTGGCCCAGTGACCCAAGTCTCCCCACTTCGCCTCTTTCAGTGCCTCGCGAAGCACAACATCTGAGCCTTCCGGCCTGGAGCCATCAGCCCTAGAGGTTCAACTTTTTGGGATCTGGGATGGTTCATTATTGGCTCACAAAAAACCATTCAAACGATGTCAAACAACCATTGCGTTTGTCCTATGGTACTAGCCAGCTCGGAAAATCACAACGGAACGTGAGATTTCTCTTGACTCTGTAGACACGTTTGCTGCTCTTTCTCCTTTAGCTGCCATTCAAAAGGAGCATGTCCTTATCTAGGACTCGCCTCAGGTCTTCTCGCCTAGAAAATGCATAATCTAATGCTGTTGTTATACGATATGTTGTTCACAATCATTGCATGCAACGGTGGTGATTACCAAGAAACACAAATTCCCTCCATGCCATGGCCTATGTCGACCGCGTTTTGCGGGCGACCTTAGGGGATTTTTGAGAGCTGGCAGAGCACCGGTCGGTGATTTCAACAGCTGCCAGGGCAATTGTCAAGTCACTGTACAGTTACCCTCCAGTAATCAAACATGGCACTTGAAAATCACTATAAATGTAAGTTTCAATGGGAAAATATGGAAAATACCATGTTGATTACCAGAGGGCATATCGAGCAGGAATGACAAATCTTGTTTTCGCACTCGAACCCAAGCAAGTTATAGCAAGTTGGGGCTGATGCATCAAGGCAAATGATGTTTCTGTTTACTGGCGATGTGCCGCCACGTCAGAGGGTGCACGGATTCCACTGTGTTCCCAAACCGGCGCAGCTTTGGGCTTGGTGTCTCCTGACGGGCCACCAGGAAGATCCCACCTGACGTATTTGTTTTTTAATGGTGGCCAACTTAGAGATGCATCCCAGGAAAGTGAGACCTGGACAAATAAAAAAACAACCTATGCTACATCCCCAGGAAGGTCCTGAATGGTTTATACAATGTATAAATATATATACACATATATGTACACATACATATCCGTGACTGCATTTTAACATTGTAGTGCAATAGATTATATATATATATGTATTCATGGCCGGATTGATGGTTTCAAGTTTCACCCCATCTCATGCTTCATGAGTCAACCAAGGAGGATGGAAACATCTGTGCGTTGTTCAAATATCCACAAGCGCTATCCCAGCCAGAGATCCACCCTCGTGTCAGTCAGTAAACCTTACATAGTGTAGGAATTATACATACATTATATATATAATCATTTGTTTATTTATTCATTTACCTACTGATTTACTGTATTTAACTATTTATGCGTGTGTGTATGCATGTATGCATGCATGCATGTATGCATGTATGCATGTATGCACGTATGCATGTATGCATCTATCTATGTATCTCTCTGTCTCTCTATCTCTCTATCTATCTATCTATCTATTCTAATCTAATCTAATCTTATCTTATCTTATCTAATCTTATCTATCCATAAATCTATCCATCTATCTACCCATCTACCCATCTATCCATCTATCCATCTATCTATCTATCTATCTACCTATCTATCTATCTATCTATATCGATCTATCGATCTATCGATCTATCGATCTATCGATCTATCTATCTATCTATCTAATCTCTCTCTCTCTATCTATCTTTCTATCTTTCTATCTATCTATCTATCTATTATCTATCTATTATCTATCTATTATCTATCTATTATCTATCTATTATCTATCTAATCTATCTTATCTATCTATCTATCTACCTATCTATCTATCTATCTACCTACCTATCTATCTATCTGTCGATCTATCTATCTAATCTTATGTATGTATCGATCTGTCTATGTATCTACCTAACTAATCTTATGTATCTATCTATCTATCTATCTATATAGATATATATCTATGTATGTATGTATGTATGTATGCATGCATGCATGCATGCATGCATCTATGTCTCTATGTCACTATGTCTCTATGTCACTATGTCTCTATGTCTCTGAGTATCTATGTATGTAAGTATCTACGTATCTACGTATCTATGTATGGTCTGTATGGTGTTGTATGGTATGGTACGGTATGGTTTAGCATATGTATGTGTATGTGTGCGTGTATGTATGTATGTATGTGTGTATGCATGCATGTATGTGTATGTGTGTGTGTTTACAACAAATAGCTATATCTATATCTAAAATCATATCTCAATCGATATCTATATCTCTTTATCTCTATATCTCTATATCTCTATATCTCTATTTATCTATCTATCTATCTATCTAAATTTATAATATATATATATTATAGGTTGTCCAGCTATCTGTACATACACATCTATACTGTGCATTGTTTCGTTACATATATGTGTGTGCTTATGAACCACCTACCTGGCACATCATGGCCTCCTCCTCCGCTTTCGGCAAATGCCAGGCTTGCAGGGCAGCTACTTGGCTCAGGTTCAGATGAGCCACCTCCAGGGCCGCAATATGTTGCAGGTATTTGTTTATTGTAGGTATAAAGATAAATGATATGAATATGCACGTACCAGTATGTTTGTGCACCCAAATATAATACACATAAATATGTATGTATGTATGTATGTATGTATTTATATATATATATATGTGATTATATGTGTATATTATTGCAATTACGTACATTGACATGTACTTGTAACATATAATGCAAACCTGAAGAAAGAACAACAAACGAACAGAACCGGCGCGCCTGGGTTTCTTTTGCTTCTGCATCCTGGGCCTGCGGCTGAGTCATCATGGTGGGGCTACAAGGAATTCCTACGTCAGACGTTGCGCCGCCCATCCCTAAAGTATAGAAACATATCTTGTAGTCACTTGAATATATACATCTTTGACATCACCAAGCAGAATCACTGAGGTTCTGCTGTCTTGAGGTTGGCAAAGGGCAATCTCAAAGTTTGAGCGAATTTGAGTGCATCCTCCAATCCAGGAGCATGTACTGAGTCAGGGAACTGGGGAACTGCTAGTTTTTGTGAGCTTTCACCGAGCGGTGGCTTGGACCTTGGCCGCTGCTTCGGCGGCTGCTTTCGAGGCCAGCTGGATTCGAAGAAGGTTTCCTGTGCCATGGGGCAAGTTTTAATCAGGGGCCCGTGGAGGTTGCCACTCCGAATCCCAGAAAACAATATATCCATGTGTACATGTGTACATATGTAAATAGATATATAAATATGGTCATATGATTTATCTATATAATTCTATATAATTACTTATCTACTTAGATATCTAGATATTGAAAAGCCATATGTATCTTGCTTTTTATAATTTATATGTACTATATATATGTGATGGTCTGAGGGTGCAACTGGCTGGGTTTGAAACCCACATGGAAGATGTCGTTCATAGCTACTTAATAGCTGGATGTGATTGATCTTGAATTGGAGTACAGCAGACCCCAGGGAACATTCAACCACCTGGAGGCCAAGTGCTGCCCAACAAGACTTGTAATGTTTGACTGAGGCTGCTCGAAAGGCTGAATGTTCGCGTTCATTACGGTCATGGTCATAGGATGTCGTATTCACGTCATGACTTTCCACGCTCACACATGCATAGGGAGCGGAAAACGCCGGGATGTTTAGCAAAACCCGCAAGACACACAAACAAAAACACTAGCAGCCATGCAGAGGAATTATGCCTGCCATGTGGCCACGAAAAGGGTGGTACCCAACCAGGCCTCTGAACAGTTCAAGTTCATATCTACACCGAGAGAATATGGAAACAGGAAAAATTGGCCGTGAAGATGATTTCACTATGCGTGCGTGCGTGTATATTATGGCACTTGCCACTTCGGTTCCGAGAGTTCCAACATCTTCAAACATGGCCCATCTTCATACATTTTCAATTTGTCACATGATTCTTAGAGTCTTAGATGTTCTTGGTGAGAGAGCGAGAGAGAGAGAGATATATATATATATATTTATATATATGGCCCCAACATTTCCCAGCTATGTACTGGCAATCAAACATGGCTTGCTGGACCTCCACCTGGCTATTTAGATCATAAATACCTATTTAGTTCAAGCATTTCCCAGCTAGCCATGCTTGAACAGGCTCTCCAGGTATAGTTTTACCATGGCTTTACAGTCTCTAAATCTGTCTAGCCATCATGTCATTTCCCCCCTACTTGGAGGATCAACCCATCCGTTAGAACCTCCATTGGTAGATTTTTGCAGCTTTGTGGCTTTGTCCAATACTGTATCTTCGAAACGTATTAAAACTTCCAGAGTTTCCCAGTATTTTCCACTATCATAAAAAACATAGACACACACACATTTATTGATTTTCCCCACGTTTTCCGACATCATTAAAACATATTAAAGCCTCCGCTGCTAGATTTTCCCAGTTTTTGTCGAATATCATTAGAACATATTAAAACATCCATTTTCCATGACCTAGAAAAGCACCTTTTCCAAACTCAGAAGGCTGGGAGGAAGTGCAACCCGCACTCAAGAGAAGGTAAGAAGATATATATGGGCCTGGAGACCCACAGGCAGTCATGGAATGGTACACGCTCCAGCACCGTCGCTGCACGGCGAAAATATGAGACAGAGGCACGCCAAAGTGAACGGGCAAGTCTTGCTGCATAATTGTCATGCACGCCTGATGGGCACACAGGTGCGCACAGTTGCATCCCTGGAGGCTGAAGCCAACGGAAGCCAGAACGCGGTCTTGACTCAGAAGATCGCACATCTGGTGGCAAACCGTTGAAAGCCTCATACAGGTGAACGTTGAGGGCAGGACCGGTGGTGCTAGAATATGCGTTCCTGCATGGAACGCTGTGGTCACGGCTAAGTCAGAAAAGGCAGGACCTGGACTATGAAACCCAATGGAAACGCTTTAACGCTTACGGTTTGTAGACGTGAAAACGCTCATTTCCAGAAGCCTCTTTCCAATGGAACGCCGGTACCCAAACTACTAAACAATACTAAACATATTTGGTTCATGATTCACCGTTCCCATGGAACGCTGGCTTTTACTGATGCTTCAGGCCTGCCCAAACCACTGGAGCAAATCCCCATGCGAACTCCGCTTCCCAAGACTACTCCTGCCACAATCTCATGAATGTTTTCTACAAGGGAACAGCTCTATTTTATACCACCGGTACCGCCTTCAACATCTGCCTGTAACACCAGGCAATCCTGAAACAAACGCAAGGATATGAAATTGCACTGCCGGGCTTCAAACTTTCACCCTTCGCATTTGCTATTATTTTTGCTTCCGTCCCCTCCGCGCGCAAGAGATGGTAGAACTCTTGCTGATAAGACAGGGCACGACAAACAGCGAAGAGTCGGAACCGCGGTGTGCCCAGCGCACGACAAACAATGGACAGGTTCATGAGCAACACCATTCGCCATTCGTCTGGCCAAGCCGCTCGCATCAGAACAGCGACAACATCAGGTGGCGCGCCTGCGCCGACAGATGTCGTGAGCGGTGTTGCAAAATGCAGGTTCTCAGCGCGGACATGCGCTGAAGCCTCAAGCAGTAAACACACACACACACACCGGCTACACTGCCATAGGCTGCCGCGACATGAAGGGGGAAGTCTCCCTCAGTGTCGGACGCGTGCACTTTGGCAATTGCTTGTAGCAACTGTTCAATTGCAGTTGGAAGGTCTTGCCTGCAAGCCAAACGCAAGGCTGCGCTGTCGAAATCAAACCTTTCGTCCCCATTGGCGTGCGCTTCGATCAAAGCGCTTGAAGCGGCGACATTTTTGCGAGTCAGGGCCTCCTTACAGGGGCAGCAAGCCGCTTTCACCTGCGTGATTGGGGCATGGCCCTTCAGACAACAATATCAATATCCGCGTCGTTGATGGCATCAAGTAGTTTTTCGGCCAAGTCCCAACGCACCCGCACGTGAACAGTGGGCGCAAGCTGCAAGCCAGCGGGCGATTCAAAGGCAGCGGCAGAACTGAGAAACAGTTGCAGCCGAAAAAGCGATGCGTCCAACATGGCGGCAATCAGTTTGATGAGCACAGGCGATTCACCAATTCAGAAGTGGGAACCGAACGGCTGCCAAGGCTTGCTAAGGTGAGCGCCGGAAACCATCCAGTCCTCAACAAAAAGCAACAAACGGCTGTGGTGGGAACGCCGCATTCTCAAAATAAACGTCCGTCTCGAGGCACAAAGGTGCATCTCTCAACTGTCTGAAAGGCGTCAGGCATGCCCCGCCGCACATTGATGCTCGCGTCTTCGCGTTTTCGGAATGAAATCTTGCCGCCCGCCCTGCGCGCACAATGTGCCAAGTCCACAATTACCGTTCCAATCAGCGACTTAAAGTACGTGCTGACACTGCACGATTCTTGTTACATGCAACTATATAATATTATATAATACATTATAATACTGTATACACCAGTGTTGACAGGACTAACATCTAACATGTTTGGCAACTTATGATAATGGGTAAAGGTTCCGGGTCGAGTTTGTGCCGCGCTGTGCCTTTGAGTCCTTCGACCTCGTGGTTGTCCCAGGCGACTTTTTGATGCAACCTGGGCTGGATTTTTCTGGACGCTTGGTGGTGGTTAGGGGAGTTTCTAACCAAGATTATTGTGATATAGCTTGATATAGTGCAGGATTATTGGGATAGAACTAACCAAATGGTTTATAATGGTTCTTTTCACCAACTTTCCAAAAAAAATACAGATCTAATGGGCTATAATACCTGCACGCAATTTAGTATACTTATATAATCTTATATAAGACATGTAGTTGACATATGAAGAAACAAATCTTGGATGGATATGAGGAACTCATTTTCAGGCGATTCGTGGCAGCTGCATCAGACAGATTGTCCAAAAATCACCTATTTGGGATGATGTAAATATGCCCCATGGTTGGTTTTTGAGACACCCCCGCAGAAAGAGGTGCCCAACGAGGTCAAGTAGCTCGTTGAGCTCTTCGTTCACAGCCTCCGCGTGGAAGGCTTCGGACGAATCTGCGCTCCAGTGCGCATAGTCCCAGTAGTTTTTCGCCAGGGCCGCGTTTTCAAAGTTGGCCGCCTTTTCCTGAGATTTTTTGTTGTACTGTATGGGACAACTTGTTGGACATGGCGTGGTGATAAGATACATGTGGAAACGTATAATACATATTTGTGATTTCTTGTATGGAGTAGGTTTGATAATACAGCATACGCATAGCTGTTCGGATATATATATATATACACATATATATACACATATCTTGCCTTATCTGTACCTGTCCAACAAACTTGGATGACATGATCATGGGTAGGCCATCGCCAACTGTCAGGCTCACTGCTACTTTGCAGGTAACATGACAAATGCAAAGCAACACACACATAGATACATATCATATCACATATTATAGACGTAGAGAGTTGTTGATTTGGTAAACGTTTACCACCCTTTTGGAATGGACTGTAAGTCCCAAGTTGGATTGGAATCTGTTTTCATGTTTCTCATTCTCATTGTTTCTCACCCTCTTATATATCTTTCACCAGTCATGGCAAGCGTCAGCCGCTTCCAAACGCGACGTTTCAGCATTCAGTCGGGCTAAAGAAGTCGTAAGGTCCTTCCCAACTTTCCGGTGAGACACCATCGCATCCTTCAGTTCTTGGACGCGATGTCTTTCCAATTTGATCTTCTCTTGGGACTTTGCCAAGGACTCCTCAGCTAATTCCCATTACATCCATGACCCACTGAAACTATTGCCTGGGCTGCCTATCCAAACATCAGGTGCAACTCGCAAACGTCCCGATTTGACATAAGATACACTTCACATCAAACCCTCTCCCTGGTGTCCTTAAAAGCTTGACACTGCCATGTCCAATAGGCCAGTTGGTCTTGTGATGGTCCTTCTCCCATCCCATCGCTCTGCTTGGTTTCCAGCACCTCCTGTCGTGCCAAGCGGTGCTGCTGTCGCACCTGCCGCAGCTCTTGCTGCAGCGGGGTGTCCTCCTCTGCTGGGGCTGATGCAGGGACCTCCAGCTGAAGCTTCGTTAGGCGCTGGCGCCATCGGTGGACGTCGGACTCCACGGAGTGGAAGCGGTGGATTTCTGACTGCACCGCAGCTTTCTTCTGATGAACTAAGGGGAGAAGCTCTTGGTGATCTTTCTGGTGTTGGGCAGTGGCAGTGATGGCAGAGGAGTCGGGAAGTGGATCGTGGACATGGTCTTCCTGTTCGTCTTCCTCTTCCTCCTCCTCCTCTTCTTCTTCCTCTTCCTCCTCCTCCTCTTCTTCATACTCACTGTCCTCCTCTCCATCAATCTTTTGTCTGTGTTCTTGATGGCTCGGATTTGTAGTTGCTCCTGGCTTTATACCCGGATGCTGTGCAGGCGTGTCGTGCTCCTCATCTTCCTCTTCCTCTTCCTCCTCTTCCTCCTCTTCCTCCTCTTCTTCTTCCTCTTCCATGTGCCATTCCGATGAGCCCCCCTTTTGCCCCTGACCACAGCAAGTCAGCACCCAAATCCTACTGGAACCTTTCCTGGTGCTGTTATCGTTTTAGGCTAAACCACCTGGGGGATGAAGGATTATTCCTCCTGGTCAGACCTGACCTCACCATGTTGCTGCAAAATGAACCCTGGGAAACCAGCGTTGAGCTATCGTTTCAGTTGATGACCGCATTCGACATTACCAGTGCAGGCTACCGGTCCAATATTACTTGGGGCCTTTGGGTCTCTGTGATCTACAGCCAAGGATGCCTCAAATCCATGGAAAGCTCCATTTTTGTTGGCTGAATCCCTATAAAACCTCCATTTTCCCCACAGATCCCCACAGGATCCGCTCCCCAGCATGACTTCCAACAGGATTCCCCACCTGGTCAGCTGGTGCCAAAGCTTGCGGCCTGGAAGGGGATCATCCCCATCTTATGGTTACAAATATCCTATATTTGAAACCCACCAGCTGGTACATATATATATATAGATAATTATATATAATTATATATATATGTGGATATATATATATATATGTGTGTGTATTGTATTGTATTGTATTGTATTGTATTGTAATGTAATGTAATGTAATGTAATGTATGTATGTGTGTGTAGAAAAGGCATGGTGTATCATCGTATCAAAACAATCCAAAGCCCTTAGTGATTTAGATCGGTTGGGGAGTCGAGGCTGAAACTGACCAACCTTGGCGCAGTTGGGAGTGCTTTGGGCGGCGGAGGAGGAGGAGGAGTAGGATCCTCCTTCTTACCAACCTCGGGACGATTTCCGTGGCAATGGATCGCCGAGAATTTGGAAAGTGCTGTAGTTTTTTTTTTGAAACACACCCTACCAGCAAACCAATATTGGGATTTCCAGTTGCAACATCTGTTTAAGATGTTAAAAGGATTTAAAAGGTGTGCTGGCAGCCAAACCTTGTCCAATGGGTCATTGTCATACTTTCAGACCAACACCCATGGAGAAAACCCAGATGGAAAGGCTAGAGATTGATATGCTTTGCCCTCCTCGAATCTCCTCTCGAGCTAGAGTTGAATATATCTACAAACTGATATGTCCTATGTGTATATGAAGGTTTCTGAAAATGGGGGTACCCCTAAATCATCCATTATAATATGTTTTTCCACTATAAACCATCCATTTTGGGGATCCCCCGTTCATGGAAACCCCCATATGTCTATCTATCCATCTATTGATCTATCTGCCTAACAATCTATCTAATCTAATCTAGTCCAATCCAATCTAATATATCTATCCGATCTATCTAATGTATCTTTCTATCTCTATGTCTATGTCTATCTCTATATCTGTCTGTCTGTCTGTCTGCCTGCCTGCCTGCCTATCTATATCTATATCTAATATATATATATTTATATCTCTATCTCTATCTATCTATCTCTATATCTCTATCTATCTATCTATCTATCTATCTATCTATCTATCTATCTATCATTATCTATCTATCTATCTATCTATCTATCTATCTATCTATCTATCTATCTATATCTCTATCTATCTATCTATCTATATCTCTATCTATCTATCTATCTATCTATCTATCTATCTATCTATCTATCTATCTATCATTATCTATCTATCTATCATTATCTATCTATCTATCTATCTATCTATCTATCTATCTATCTATCATTATCTATCATTATCTATCATTATCTATCTATCTAATCTATCTAATCTATCTAATCTATCTAATCTATCTAATCTATCTAATCTGTCTATCTGTCTATCTGTCTATCTGTCTATCTGTCTATCTATCTATCTATTTATCTATCTATCTGCCTAGCTATATATCTATCTAGCAATCTAATGAACTGAAGTCTGTTCCCCATACCACCCCCTCCATTTGCCGTCCCCCGCTTTTTCGTGCACTCAGCTTCCAGCCAGGAAGTTTCCAATCAGCCGCATTGCGACATGCGGCGTTGGGACATCTGAAATCTGGCTATGGGGCTATGGGGATTCTTCCATCCATAAAGGGGGGTTATGCAACCGGGTTATGGCCACATGGCCTAATTGATCTTTTTGAACTGCCCTGAAAATATGAAAGTCACTTGCGCTCCTCTTCCCAAATGGGATTGAACATGATCCATGTGTTAAACAGTTTTAATCACCAATCTGCAAGATCTGCCTTGCCTGCGTCTGAGTCAATGTTGGAACCTGTGGTTGCTTCTGGTAGCCAAGCTTTACTGGTGTATGATATCAGTGGCAGCATGATGTCACAGGCATGCCCTCAAACCGAGGTTCTTTTTTCGGATCTGAATTGATCTGAAGCCTTGGAAGCCTTGTGATTTTGGATGCTCCGTAGATATTCTGTTTTTGGGCTGGAACATGCCAGCATCATGTCTTTGAAAGCTGTCAGCCGTCATAATCAAGGGGTCACAATGCATATCAGCATCTCGGGGATCAAACCAAACCTACCCCAGCTATCCCCAGCCAGTCGTTTCACTGGCAACCCAAGAATTTGGAGTCTGATGAAGTCTGATGTATAATCGAACCCTAATTGTAGATGAATTTCGCATCAACAAATGAATGCCAAAATCATCCAAAACCACAACATATCACAACCCGCATGGCACATGATGCAAAGCCTCTGAAAACTTATACGATTCCATGAGAAAACCACAGAAAACAATTTTATTAGTGGGACTTAGTGACGTGGATTTGTATGCCACAATATTCTCAACAATGGGTTTCTTGTGACAACACTTCCAGAACCAGTACCACCCGCTTTTGCGCTGATTGCCTCACCTCCAGAAACATGCCACATTTCTTACACCATCTTCGAATTGAACGCAATTCGAATCTGTCAAAACCAACCCTCCATCCACCCAAAAACCTGCCACACACACACACACATTTTTCCATCAGAACAACATTGTGCCTTTCCCTGCCAACTTTGTGACAAGTGTGAAACTCCCTATCTCTGTGACTCTACAGGCTAAATCTGGGCACCGCCGAGCAGCTGCAAAGGAAACCGCCCTGGAAGAGGCCGAGCTTCGTGCTTTGCTCCACCCGTTCGTGGGCCAGGTCGCCTCCGTGCGTCAGGTCCGAGCGGTCGCTGCACCCGGACCGCGGGCTCTGGCCGCCCATTCCGAGCAGCACCAAGAGAGCCGTCATGTTGTCGCCCCCGAGGCCACCAGATTCGGCCAAGTCTGGGGAGAAACACCTGAAAAAAGGGGCCAATGCCGGGGATTTCCTACAGATCCATGGGCAACATGGGGGAAAAACGGAGAAAACTTGTGATTTTTCCCTGATCTGAGGCTTCTGAAGGTTGCCATCAAGAAAGGAACTTTAGGCAGAGGAACCGCCTCTACCCACGACAATCAATGCGGTGGAATCACCAACCGGAAGTGTGGGAACTCACAGGACGCTGGCGACACTGAACCTCAAAACACCAAAACATGCTTTCGAAGTGGATGATTGGATGTAACAATCTAGCAATTTGGTGTTCCATCTTCAATCACTTCAATCTTCCAAGGGGTGAGTAAAATTCATTGATTATGGCTCCTAGGTTTTAACAGCCGCCCCGCCTCTCAACCAGAGTTTCGGTGATGGAGGAGAGTCTGGCCTCCTCATTCCCTGCCAAACGCTCCAACACCATATCCACCGCATCTTGGTTGCTGATGCGATCCCAAATGCCATCACTGGCAATCAGCAGAAATTCATCATGTCGTTCCCGCTTCTTTTCGATCAAATCCGGGAATGAAGTGATGACTTGATCCCTGGCGGCTAACTTTGCATTGCGCTTGTAATCCAAATCCCCAAGGCTTCGGGACAGGTTCAAGTTTCCGTTCACCCGGTAGACCGTCAAGCCGCCAAAGTCCTGTTGATCCACCGTTCCTCCAGCGCGAACGATGCGCTCCCGCTCACTGGGGAGGTTGGGTTTGTGATCTGTGGATAAGGGTATCGCCAAGCCATTTTGGCACAAGACCACACGACTATCCCCCACGTTGGCCACGATGATCGAGGACTCCTGTCAAGGGCTGGCGCGATGTCTGGAAGTGGCCTTGACAAAAAAGAGGGGGAATCATTTCCAACACCTCTTACCATGATATCTAAAGTCTAAAGTCATCCAAAGTCATTAATATGTCTTATATGTCTTACGGATTCTTGTGGTCCAAAATCCGATTCACATGGGACTTCACCATTTTCTCCCCTCTTTTTCCTGTACCAAACACACGCAAGCTGTACATCCAACGCGACTCGCGCCCATCTGCTGGTCACGCGCATCGCCCGTCAAGATCCGCAGGGATCGGAGATATTCGGCCTCTTCCTCCAGCAGCTGATCCATCCCTTCCTGGGATCAGATTTTAAAAATGACTGTTCTATCAGTCTATCATGTGAAAAATCTATGTTTGGGGGGGTCTTTTTGATTCTTTTTGGGGCTTATCATTTTGGATCTCATTAAATCCCACTAGACCCCATTAGACACCATTAGACCCCATGATATCCCATTAAATCCTTTTATATCCTTTCATTATTACTGAATCCCATTACCCGCCGGAAATCAAACGTGGCTAGCTGGAAAATCCATGAAAATCCACCATGTCTAAATGATTTTGCCATTTCAATCCTCCATTTCTAGGGGGTTTTCCAGCCAGCCACGTTTGATCACCTGAGGGTAAATAACAATAATGTGGGTAAAATAATAATAAACCATCCCCCAAATCACCATTCTTATAGGTGGTATAAATCATTCCCAAATGGGTGATAAACATGGCATTGTTTTACCCACATTAATAAAATAGCCATGATGGTGTAAGACCCATGAAATCACCTTCTCATGTCATGTTCAGCGAGGCTTCCAGGGCGGCCACCAGCGCGCGACCCGCTGCCGCTGCGCTGGCGGCGTTCTGGCGCGTGTGCCCCGTGGGCGTGTCGTCGACACTGCCACCCAGCAGGTTGGAGACCTAGCGAAAGGCAGGAAAAAATCTCTGTTGATTGGTTGATTTGCTGGGAATTCTATGGCCTTTCTATGGTAGTAATAATTGGGTTGTAATATATAGAATCCTATCATTAGCGAATTTGTTGGGAACTATACCAATGGGATATGGATTGCCAGGGGTTAGTACGGATAATTATGGATTATTATACATACTAAGATGTTGGGTCAAATTTATTGCGGATAACCCATGATAGGATCCACCCACTGATATAATGTTTCTATGCCCTTAATACAAACTTCTAAAAAATAATACTTGAGGCTGTTACATACGACAACCTTAGCCATCAATACACAAATATATTAATATCTGAAACACTGTTAGACGTAGTATGTACTATTATACTATTAACACTACTTGATACGATGTACAATGTACTTTGATACCATCATCTCACCCAAATCATGGGCATGAATTCCATATTCATTCGTGACATATTTGCCATATTTTGTCACATGTTTTCATCCCCCATATTTGTGCTGGTATTATTGTGTTGCTTAAACTACCTTAAATCCCCCTTTGTGGTTTGTTAAATCATCGAACCCCCCCATAATTACTTGGCCAACTCCTCGTTTAACTTGCTGGCGAAAGATGTTTATAAATCCCATCTTCATCCATATTCATCCATATTCTCATTGGTTCATGCCCTTTCATACCATCATCATCCATCATCCACGAGATATTTTCCCAAATTTTCCCAGTGAACCCCGCCGCGTTGATATCGTTGATCCACGCCTTGGTCTCCAGTTCTGTGAGTCGCCAACGATTCATCTTGCCGATGGCTGTGGGGAGACGCTGCTGGCAGAAGAGCGCCACTTCGCGACCTCCGTGGCCGTCCAAAACCTGGTGGCGAAAAAAGGCGGCCATGGCTTGGGGAAAAAGATTGGGGAAACCTAAGGCCAGGTGAGGATAGCCAAGTTGATGAACTTGCTGAATTGTGTTATGTTTTTTGGCTGAGTTTTAAGTTTTGCCCCTATAATTAGTTTTTATCTGAAACTTCCGCCCCGGGCTTGCCCTCCATGTGTATACACATATACACGCATAGTATATGTTCAACATAATCTACAGTATAAATTGAATGGCCGGTACAATAAAATGGCAAAGCATCAAACATGCGAATTGTATACGGCAAAAAGAACCAGTGGCTTTAATGGTCATTAGACAAGAACATATGTGGGCAATCTTGTGTACCGCAAGAGCTTGGCAGCTAAGACGTGTGGAAACTGAAGTTCAAAACCGTTCCTGGTTTTTTGTTGTACAAGTCCCCCACCTTTGCAAGTAATGTCAACCCTGGATTAATAAACCCCGTTTACGGCTGTTTAATTGGGAGGGTACCATTTAAGTTTTAGATCATGACTATTGGAGGAGTACCCCCCCGGGGTTGACATTAACATCGATTGACCTTGTGGAACCCCCCAAAAAAAAAAAACAGAAAATTCATCAAACAAAACGAGCGAGTGAAAAATCCAGAAACCCCAAAGGCAGCGGTATCTGACCAATCACCGCCCAAAGAGTGCATCGCAAAATGGAAATCTTCCATGTAGGGCCGCCATCCTGGAGAGAAGCTGGACCGGCTGGACCTCTGGCTACCCTGAAGTAATCAAACATGGGCTGGAAAAAACAGGGAAAAACTCTCTTGAATCCGTAAATCGTCTAAGACTGGATGTAATTTTCATGTGAATGAAAGATGTTTTATGATGTTTCCATCATCGGTTCTATTTCCAGGTCGGTATCAGAAATCGAGAATGAACCCCTGAAATGAAGCCAGGGTACTTTCCTCTACCATTTCGACGTCCAGGTTTCTGTGGGACCTTCGCCCTATATGAGTCGCCTGGAATACCCACATCATCCCATGACATCCCCTGGATGGTCCTTGCATGCTGCTGCAGCCCCAGCGCAACTGCAAACTTTGGCTCTGTCCGTCATGGCTTTGCTTGGAGGTCACGGGCCTTGCAGAGCCCTGCCCCATGGCCACGCGAAAGGACACGCGCCGTGGTCATCTTGCTGCCGTGAAAGCTGTGGCCAAAACACACATCCGCATGCTTCGTGTGAATTCGGCGGAAAACCCCTCGGATAATCGGTTGGTTGTCCAGTTCCAAGGTCGCTGATCAAGAGGATATCCGAATTTGCTGTGTTTGCTGTGCCTCAAAGCTGTGGCAAACTCAAACGACCTAGTGAACTACGGAGAAAAAAAAAGAATTTATACAAATCCATTATGATCCATAAGCATCCATAAGCCATATAGAATCACATGGATCCCATTATCTATATGACTAAAACATATCCAACGGGATGATCATTGGGGACCGAAACAGGCCTGTGCCGGGGCAGCTTTTTCACCGCATAGCATGGATTCACCGGGAAAGGGCAATCTGAGACGGTGAAAGGATCTAACGGGGGACTTCCTGGAAACCAGGACAGCGAAACTACCCTCAATCTACGGTAATCTGACTTGACAATATATCCCCTTCCCCTTTGTTTCACCTTTCCGAGTGCTTCTTTTCCATTGTCATGTGAGTTATTGATATATTGCGGGATGGCAAAATCTTTCTGCACTTCTCAACTGCTCCGCTTGACGCAGGCTTCCAGGCGTAGGAACTCGTTGCATTCTGAATGAATTAGAGTTGTTTTTTCTCGCGCGGTCTAGTGGGAAATCGATGGGCGAACAAACGATTCGGCCTGCAATAACAAGTGCATTTATATAACTATATATATATATATTCTTATATGCATATATATATATATACATACATACATACATACACAATATATACTTGAGAGGGGGGGACGAAAGGTGGGGGGGGAAAGACAGGAGGGAGAGGCAAGAGAAGGTGCGACTGTTTGTAACGCAAGCACGCCGACGACGACGACGACGACCACCACGACGACGACGACGACTACTACTACTACTACTACTACTACGGCTACTACTACTACGACGACGACGACTACTACTACTACGGCTACTACTACTACTACTACGACGACGACGACTACTACTACTACTACTGCTACTGCTACTGCTACTGCTACTGCTACTGCTACTACTACTACTGCTGCTGCTGCTGCTGCTACTACTATTACTATTACTATTACTTCTACTACTACGACTGCTACTACTGCTACTACTGTTACTACTACTACTACTACTACTACTACTACTCCTACTCCTACTCCTACTCCTACTCCTACTCCTACTCCTACTACTACTAGTTCTTCTACTACTACTACTACTACTACCACTACCACTACCACTACCACTACCACTACCACTACCACTACCACTACCACTACCACTACCACTACCACTACTACTACTACTACTACTACTACTACTACTACGCCCAGGCCCGTTAAACTTTACATTCAATTGGGAAGATCAACAAGGGTATTAGGGAATATTAAACTCCCACCCCCGTTAAACTCTACATTGAATTAGGAAGATCAACAAGGGTATTAGGGAATATTAAACTCCCACCCCCGTTAAACTTTGCATTCAATTGGGAAGATCAACAAGGGTATTAGGGAATATTAAACTCCCACCCCGGTTAAACTTTACATTCAATTGCGAAGATCAACAAGCGGATTCATGACTTCGCGGAAATTGCGTTGAAGAGTTTGCCGATTTCTAACGTTAGATGTATAAGGTAGGCATTTTGGACAAGAATCGGTTGGAGAGAAACTTTTGGAGTTTGAAAAGCTCACCCAAGCAGCTGGAATGTTTGTGTGCTTGTTGTTGGTGAATCGTTATTCTTGTAGGTATACCGTGTTGTCAGCACGCGGACTCGTTGGACGGGCCTCCAGGGAGTCGACTGAGCTAGTTGTTGACCTTGTGATTTCTACTAAGTATACATAAAGTATCGTTTTTTGTTCTGTACAATGACGTTCCGAACTCCGAATACGTGGACCCGGTGGAGGGGCCTCCAAAGGGTCAACCAAGTGAGGGGTTGACTCTGTGGAGGCTCTCCCACCGGGTCCACAGAAACTATTGTTTTTGGTTAGTTGTTGACTTCTTGTGATTTCTAGCAAGTTTACATAAAGTCCAACCGGGTCCACAGAAACTAATGTTTTTGGTTAGTTGTTGACCTTGTGATTTCTAGCAAGTTTACATAAAGTCCAACCGGGTCCACAGAAACTAATGTTTTTGGTTAGTTGTTGACCTTGTGATTTCTACTAAGTATACATAAAGTATCGTTTTTTGTTCTGTACAAGTACGTTCCGAACTCCGAATACGTGGACGCGGTGGAGGGGCCTCCAGAGGGTCAACCAAGTTAGGGGTTGACTCTGTGGAGGTTCTCCCACTAACAAGGGTATTAGGGAATATTAAACTCCCACCCCGGTTAAACTTTACATTGAATTGGGAAGATCAACGAGCGTATTAGGGAATATTAAACTCCCACCCCCGTTAAACTTTGCATTCAATTGGGAAGATCAACAAATGTATTACGGAATATTAAACTCCCACCCCCGTTAAACTTTACATTCAATTGGGAAGATCAACAAGGGTATTAGGCAATATTAAACTCCCATCCCCGTTAAACTTTGCATTCAATTGGGAAGATCAACAAGGGTATTAGGGAATAGTAAACTCCCACCCCGGTTGAACTTTACAGTCAA